ACCTATTTGTTTTCTGTTGCATTTTGCAGAAAAGCACAGCAGTCCATTTAACATGATTTCCTATGGGAAAGGTTCACATCTCCCCATTTTTTGGAAAGGTTCATGGACTTTTTTATAAATGCAAAACGTTGCGTTTTTGGTTCTATAGTCTTCAATGGAGATGCTACAGAAAAGCACGTAGTGCATTTTTGATGCTTTTTTGTGTTTTAATCTGCCCAGCAACAAATTGGAAAAAAAAAAAAAACGCACCACAAAAATCACTGCAGAAACAGATCAAACGCAAACTGCATAGGTGTGAACCTAGCCTTTGTGTTACCAATCAATTGAACAGATGTACCTAGTAAAGTGGCCTGTGAGTGTATGTAGTGGAGCCAAGTAGCTGATTTTTTTTTATCTTGCAAAAGTTTGCTCCATGTATAACTAGCATTAAAGCCCAATAGAAGTCTCACAACATATTTATTTTTTGTGTTCCTGTACCATTCTAAGTTATTTTTAACTACCATTAACCTAACCTTTTTCGGAGAAAATGTTCTTCCTGTCTTTCCACTCCAGTTCTATATTGGTAATTGCCACACTACTCTCACAGAACTGTAATTCTAATAAAGAGGAGTCATGTCTGATCAAGTCTGTTAAAGTGCATTCATATTTAGACATTGCATACTGCATTTGCTGGAGAAGGAAAATAAAAGAGAAGCTCTGAAAATGGAGGTTGTCAGTACAATGGCCATCCAACGGAACCCTATCTTTGTGGCTACAGTTGGGCTTCAATGTGTACTTTCTGCATAAGAACAGAGCCCTCTTTTGCTCTAAAAGCATTACTATGCTTCATTTTTGTACTATAGCATAATATTCTGTAAGAACGTTAAGACTAACTACTTTTTGCTACTTTCGTCTAAATAAAAATATGTCTTTTTTTTTCTAGCAAGACCTAAATGGTTTCGGCAGAGCTGGTGACTGTCCTTGCCAGGAAAGAGTGATTTCAGACATCAGGTAAGTAAGAAACTTGATACATTATCGAAATCTCTGTTCTGGCTTTTCAGTTTGGATGATGTCAGCCTTTGATAATCTTTCCTTCCCAAATACTGTGCGGAAGACTTGAAGAAATGTCTGTGCCATGACTTTATTTCTTAACAGTGTGCTAAGAAATAGTACCACCCAAGCTCTTTGGATAGAGTAGGGTTAAGACCCGTACACACGATGATGATTTCAAATGATTGTCTTTTTTTTTGTTGCATACTAGTCTCCATATCTAAATTGAAGAGGTTATTAACCTCCCTGGCGGTATGATTATTTCAGATTTTTGGTGCTGAAAGCGGTACCATTTTTTTTGCATGGAAATATGTATTTTTTTTTATTGTAGGCCTGTAATTTAGGAATAACTCCCTGAAATCTGTCCGAACAAGAGTCTAGTAAACATTCCGGATATGATAAAACTTGAAACACAAAATCATAAATTATAATTTAATAAATACTCATAAAAAATAATAATATAATAATAATAAATTTAATTCAATAATATAATCAAACCAAAAACACTGAAATTTGAAATATAGCGCCAAGTTCGCACATCACTGAGGAAAGTCGCAAAATTGTTTTCAGTGTCTGATGACGAATTTCCCCCACGAATCATTATCACTCAATTCTGCAAGTAGTTCTGATTTACTATCGCTGTTCTCTAGCTGGTCTAAAACCGATTTTGACCTAAAGGGACGCTTTTTGGACGCCGTGGACTTTTCTACATTTCCAGGCAGAAAGAACAGTCAAAATGCAGGCAGGCACAGGACAAAGCAGTAGGGACAAAATGTATGTGAAATGCTTTGATACAGGAATGTTTTGCTATGAAATAATCGTTTTAAAAAAAATGTCATTTTTTTTAATTTTCAAATTTGCCGCCGGTTCCGGCGCTCTTACGTCCCGACGTCACAGGGACCGGAACACGGAAGCCAGATGCCGGCATCGGCCGGAGGAGATGGCCGGGGATGCTGCAGGGGACACATCGCGGGAGCGAAGGACAAGGTAAGCGCTGTAGGGAATCCCTGTGCAACGCCGCATGGTAAGCCCGACTGTAGCTCGGGGTTACCACTTTTGGTACTGAAACTTTACCCCGAGCTACACTCGGGAATACCGCCAGGGAGGTTAAAGTTACAAAAATTCTTGTATGACAGAATAAAAATTCAGAAGTGATTTAATGTTTTGTATTTTTGGATGAAAACTGTACTTTTGCTTTTCCGCCACCCTGCTACAGGGCGGGAGGTGTGCACAAAATCACGTATATATACTGTATATATGTGATTTTGCATGTCACCCTACCCGTGCCACCATTGGCAGCCTCACCTGTCGATCACCGGGGCCCGGCCGGTGATTCCCCACTGGCACCCGGTGATCGCTGTGTATCACCAACGGGAGAGAAACCTGTATGTAAACAATACAGATCTCTCCCCTGTCAGCTCCTGCACACTGCTTTGTATGGCTCTGCTTACAGTTAAACACACACAGACAACACAGTAAAACAGCACACAGTTCACCCTTTGATCACCCCAGATATTAACCCCTTCCTGCCCAGTGCCATTAGTACAGTGTCAGTGCTTTTTATTAGCACTGATCACTGTATTAGTGTCACTGAGGATGTAAGTGTCAGTTAGTCAGTTCCCCCCAGTGTCAGAATGCCCACCTCAGTCCCGCTATAAGTCGCTGATTGCCGCCATTACTAGTATATAAAAAAAAATTCCAGTATATATACCGCAATTTGTAGACGCTATAACTTTCATGTAAACCAATTAATTTACACGAATTGGGATTTTTCTTAGCAAAGACATGTAGCAGAATACATTTTGGCCTAAATTTATGATGAAATTTGATAATTACATTTTTTTTTACTGGACATGTTTAATAGGAAAAAGTCAAAAATATAATTTTTTTTCTCAAAAATGACGAACTTTTTTTTTATAGCGCAAAAAAATAAAAACCAAAGAGGCGATCAAATACCACCAAAAGAAAACTCTATTTGTGGGGAAAAAAGGACATAAACTTAATTTGGGTGTAGAGTTGCATGACCGCGCAATTGTCAGTTAAAGTAACACAGCGCCGTACTGCAAAAAATGGCCTGGTCAGGAAGGGGGGTAAATCCACTGGAGAGCAAGTGGTTAAACAAAAATCGTACCATCTGGTATCGTACGAGAAAAATTTTGGTGTTTGTCCCTTCAAAGAATTTTGGACGAAAGCTGTTTAATAATGATCAGATTATCGTACAATTGCTTAGAAAGAGGTATTTTTCATACGATCTTCTGATCATGTGTACTAGGCTTTAGCTGACACCCTGTTAAAGCAGAACAAATTTTTTTTTTTTTCATTTTGGATAGAGTATGGTTGGGTTAAAACCAGGGGCGGACTGACAACTCATGGGGCCCCCGGGCAATAGGGGATCATGGGGCCCCTGTGTCCTTGCCCAAACTCAAAAAAGCCTATGAAAAAGGTACCAGGGGCATCTCATGGGGCCCCCTACTGACCCCGGGGCCTCGGGCAGTGCCCGAGTTTCCAAATGGTCAGTCCGCCCCTGGTTAAAACCCTTGTCAGGTTTTTTTATTGGGGAGATTTCTTATCACTTTCTATTTTCACTGTGAATACCAGCACTGACTGTTGTCTATAAAAGGGGCCTCCAAACTTTTCAAACAAAGGGCCGGTCAGACTTTAGGGGGGGGGGGGCAGATTGTGGCCAGTAGGGGTGAAAAATGTCCCAGGGCCAGCATCAGTGAAAATAAACATAGCCTCAGAATTGGTGGTCAGTAGGAGCAAGAATAGTTCCCCCCATCATTGGCATCAGTTGGGTCAGTGGGGAATAGTAGAAGTAATAATGCCCCATTGTTGGTGTCAGTGGGAGGAATAGCGCCCCAAGGGCCAGATAAAGGCTAGGAAAGGGATGCATTCACCCCTGGGGGCCGCAGTTTGGAGACCCCTGGTCTATGACATCCTCTACCTTCAGGTCATTCTGCGGAGTAGTATTGTTGAGTCAATTTAACATCCTGCTATTTTACTCAACCCCGATGAAGGTGAATGTATTTCCCCCAAAAATGCATTGGGTGCCCTTTGCCCTGCTTGTTCTAACCAGCTGAATAATAAAGACTTTAGATTCCTATGGATAAGACAAAATATGTGTAAATACGTTGCAGTTAAAAAAAAAATATATAAACATCCTTTTTTTAATATAAGTGATCACATAACTTCCGTTCTCAGCTGCTTATGGGGCTTAGAGAGCTAGGGTTGGAGAAACAGCAGTACACTGACCTTCCCTCTGAATGGCTGTGCAGGGGAGCATGTCAGCACAAGTCTTGGCCAGTGGAGGACAGGCAGGCTGTGCTCCCAACACACCCAGAAAATTGAACACTTTCAGATGGATGTGCTTCTATGCCTAGTATGGTGAGTTTGAAATAGAAAAGCAAGGGGTTTAGCAGGATCTATGGGAAATTCACACAAAGGAAGAAGAACAAAGAGAACAGGATACCTGTGAGCATAAGTACATGGTACAACAGGCACATATCAGGAATATGAAATGTTGAGGTAATATATTATTTAATATTTAGTGTGCATCAATGTATAACTATATAAATATATTCTTACAAAATAATACAAACATCCAGTGCCGCTGTTTTTGTGCTGGAACTGTGATCACTTGGCACCCCTAGCATCATGACTGCACTGTCGCCAGCGCTGTTACGGCTTATGATCAGGAGTTAGTAGCACAGACCCCCAATCTTGCAATCACATGACCATGTAATACCTCTAACATTATGAACTTTTAAAAGGGCTTGCCTAAAGTGTTACTAAACGCCGGACCCTGCATTCACTATATCTCATCTTCCACAGTACACAGAACATGGAAATGCAATTATTTTAGTAAATATGAACTGCTAAATACCTTTTCTCATCAGAAGGTAGAGCAGTCTTGTGACTTCTATCAGTGTTCAGCAGAGCACTGGTTAAAGCATGTCAGAGGAGTTTTCTTTCTGCTCTAGGAGGATGCAGGACACCTGACCTCTGTCTGACCAGTGCTGATTGGCCCTGTGCTGATCACATGCACTCTCCCAAGAAAAAAAAACACCTCTCTAGCAATACACACCAAACTGAGCATGTGCAAAATGCCTACAGTTCAGTCTGTCTTATCAGGAGATAAGAGGTGGTCACTTAAAAAAGGTTGAGGAACAGAGAAGAACGGATCAAATGGCCTTTTTACACAATGCAGAAGATTAACCCCTTAGGTTCCACAGTGAGCATAACAAGCATGCTTTACTGCATATACAGACTGATTGTGGGTTCAGTAACACTTTAATCAGCAGATCACAAGTCATGGGGGGGGGCAGCTCTGATCAGCTGCAGAGAGAACACATATAGTACAATACTGATGACTAGTCCTTTGCATCCTCCCTGCGTTTTTTGGGCACAGCTTCCATGGCTTAGGTCCCCTTTAACTGACTGTATTTTGCCTTGAATTGTGATGTAATCTGTTATTTTTACAGTATTTTAATGAAAGGCTTTTTGGTTTCCTTTCCTCCCCTCAGCATAACCTATTTATATTATTTAGTAGAGATGCACACCCAATTTAAAACCACTATGCTGTCAGGATGAGGCTTTACTCCTGATAACTGAGGGTGCTGGTATGCACCTGCTTTTTTTCCACAATTTTATTTTAAAAAAAAAAAAAAACAAACAAAAACAAAACATATCTCTTCCCCTTTGAATATACTGCAGCTAGAACAAGGAATAAATCTCTATGACTTACACCCCGGTCACATCAAACCCGACTCACAGTGAAGTCGCACGATTTCAAAGTCAGGTGACCTACCGATTTCAGGTGTGATTTGCAAGTCATCCGACACAGATGTCTATGCAAATCGCAGCAAAAGTAGTGCATGTAGTCCTTTAGAAATCAGTGCGGCTTCGACCAAGGGAACCACAGCGATATGATCGCTCTAATTGCTGACAATAGGGTGCGACTTGGCATGTGATTTGCAAGTCGCATGGCATACAGATCGCATCCACTGTGACTGGGGAGGTAAACTAGATGGGAATGGAAAACCAAAGGAAAAATTGGTAAATTGTAGTGTGCCGTGATTATAAAAAGCAGCAATTTATAGACACAACTATCAATAGAACTCTGATGCTATTTGTACTTTTGATAAAATTTATGGCCGGAATGAAAAATGCAATTACATATTATTATAAATTGAGATCAAATTCTTTGTTTTGCACTGTCTGTATTGTCATGCTGGAAAGTGCTGTAATGTCTGGGAATTTGATGGGGTTAATAAGGTCTCGGCACCCTTTTTTGGTAGTGCTTCACCTTCGTGACCTTCCTGCTTGCATAAATGATGTTTGGATAACAAGCACCATTTCTCATTACTGTTAGGAAATAGAATTGAGTTCTGAGGTTATCGTCAGAAGATTGACTGAAATTCACATTGCTCTAATCAGGATGAAAGTGTATAACATCCGTAATATTAAACTCCATAACAATCAGAAGGGTCCTGAGAGGACAGTTAATAAGTCAATTCTCTAGGCATACAATTGTTACCAGGTGCCAAAAGGCAATATAGAACAGACATTTCCAAAGGGCGGAGAAGTGACTGGTTTACATGTTGTGAAGTCTGGCTCAAGGGAAATGCAATCAGAGTAATGCATACAGCAGATCATTAGATAATACGTGCATTAAATGCACTGTGTAGCTGCATGTATACAAGGGGCATGTATCTAGAAATTGTGGAAGGAGAAACAGCAGTACACTGAACTTCCCAGTGAATGGTGGTACAGGGGAGGGCGTGTCAGATGAAGTCTGATCATTGGAGGAGCACTGGGGGTTTATTTACTAAAGCTGGTTCACTTGTGGTGCAGCTCTGCATGGTAGCCAATCAGCTTCTAACCTCAGCTTGTCCAATTAAGCATTGGCAATAAAACCAGTAAACTGATTTCTATGCAGAAGTGCACAAGATTCTGAGTGAACCAGCTTTAGGCTGGCCATACATTATACCATTTTTTTTTAGAAAATTGCTTTAGATTAAGGATGGCCATACACTATACAATTTTCTTACAATTTTCTGTCCAATTTCTGCCCTATTTCCTTTAGATTTACCTTCAACTATGTAGTACAAGGGTCTGCCTAATTGGATACAATTGAAAGTGTTGTTTAGGTTTGACCTATTATATGGTTTTTGGTAAGGCTGGCCATACACTATACAATTTTCTTTCCAATTTCTGCCCAATTTCCTTTAGATTTACCTTCAACTATGTAGTGCAAGGGCCTGCCTAATTAGATACAATTGAAAGTGCTCTTTAGGTTTGACCTCCTATTATATGTTTTTTGGTAAATCTAAAGCAAACTGTATAATGTATGGCCAGCCTTACCAAAAACCATATAATAGGAGGTCAAACCTAAACAACACTTTCAATTGTATCCAATCAGGCAAGCCCTTGTACTACATAGTTCAAGGTAAATCTAAAGGAAATTGGGCAGAAATTGAACAGAAAATTGTATAGTGTATGGCCAGGCTAAGTAAGTAAACCCTACTGAGTTCCCAGAACAGATATAGAACTGAACACATTGTGCTTTCCTGCCTAGTGTGGTCAGTTTTTAATAGGAAAGTAGAAGGGACTGGCAGGAACAGCAGGGATTTCACACAAAAGAAGCAATACAATACATGGGCACCAAAAAAATTGTTTCATTTTCGATTTGTTATTTAAATAATTTTGTTCAGTGAAATCGATTAAATTTGTTTAATTCATTTTACTTTATTTGTTTTTGAATTTGATTCAAATTTTCCAAATATGGTCAAGTTGAATTAAATTTGAACAAATCGAAAAAGTATTGTGTTCGAATTTATTCTATTCAAAATTGGAATTTCGGAAGACGGTTATATTCTATTTTGTTCAATTGTTTTTTTTTTTCATTTTTTAAAATTATTTTCTATTCTATTTTATTTTTTTATTTCCTATTATATTCTATATTAATCTATTCTATTCGAATTCAAATTTATTCTGTTCAAAATTCAAGTTTCGGAAGATGGTTATAGTTTTTCCATTCTATTCTAGCCTATTCTATTCTACTGTTTTTCCTACTCTATTCTTTTCTATTGTATTATGCTTCTTTTTTATTCTATTTCTTTCTATTTATATATATTTTTCTTTTAATCAAATCTTTTTAAAGTTTCCAAAAGTAGAAGGTGCTTGAAATACAGCATCAGGCATAATCAACAAGTACACAGTGTACAGCATGATCCAAATATATCAAGTATGTAAAACAAAAGAAACAATCTGTCTCAAAAGCAACAGCATGTATTAGGGTCAACATTAGCTGAGCAAGGGACAACCCATACACTGTCAGGAGAGTCCCACAGCCTGATATACATATTAAAACAGTATAAGGGAAGGGAAGCTATTCTTTTCTAGTCTTTTCTGCTTTATTGTATTCCATTTTTTTTAAATTCAAATTTCGGAATGCGGCTATATTCTATTTTATTCGATTCTATTTCTTTTCTATTCTATTTTATTCTTTTCTTTTATTTTCAATTTTATTTTGTTCTATTCTTTTCTATTCTATTTTAGTCTATTCTTTAATTTGCTATTCTATTCTGTCCTGTTTTATTTTATTCTTTTCTATTCTATTTGCTATTCTTTTCTATTCCAGTCTTTTCTATTCTGTTCTATTCCAATCTTTTCTATTCTATTCATTTATTTTCTATTCTGCTCTGTTTTACTCTATTCTTTTCTGTTCTATTCTTTTCTTTTATATTTTAATTTTTATAATCTATTCCTTTATATTTTGTTCGATTTTGTTTTTAAATTCAAATTCAAATTTCAGACAAAATTTAATTTTGTTATTTCAAAATTCGTTTAAATTCATTACTATTGCAATTCAGACGTTCTGATACATATTCTAGATTTGTTTTCATTTTATTTTTTTACTAAAATAGATTTCCATTTCCATGTTGTAGTTTTATTTCCAGGAAGGCCAACAGGGTTGCTAACCTAATTATTCCATTTTCCACAGAAAAAAGGCCAACAAAATCTATACACCCAGCTTTTTTCACAGACATGTCATATTTTTAGTTTGCGCACTAGTATCGAAAGGCATGCAGCCCCACTGTCTAAGTTCTACATATATAATGTTATACTAATAAATTCACAACATAAATAAAAAACTTGAATAATGAAACAGCTGTGGGCCTTGTGTAGCCATCATGCACAGGCACGTCAGCTTAGCTGCCTGTCACCAACAGCAGCAGCAGAATATCACATTTGCACAGGTGTATTTTTGTTCTATCAACAGAAATAACTAATTTAATAAAAAAAATGTGAACCATGATCGTGTGGGGTTGATTTACTAAAGGCAAATGTGCACTCTGCAAGAACATTTGTTCCAGAGCTTAGTAAATGAGGTAAAGCTTCATGTTGTAATAGTAAAAGGCTTTTAACCCTAATGGTAATAGTAGCAAATGGGGTGTATTTATAAAAACATTGCATTGCAGTTGATCCATTAAAATTAAACTTAAATGTATTCCGTGCAAATGGGGCAAAATCAAATGTTCTAAGGCTATATTCTGTGCAGACTTTCAATAAGTTTTTATTGAAAGAAAAAAAATGTGAGGGGTAAAATACTACATTATTGCCACTAGATGGCACCGAGTATCATAAGAAACAACTAGGCTCCTCAACTCCATCTAGTGGTCATAATGCAGTATTTTCCCCATTTACAATGCTTTGGCAGTTGCGGATGGTCTCAAGGCTGCATGGTCTTGAAAGAATGAGCAGGAGGTGGTTTATATAGTTTGAGCAGTTAACTTCAAAGAAAAAAGGTATATTTTTTACCGTTTGTAAAATTGTTGGTAACCCTGCAGGCAAGCAAAACCTAAAGAAAAAACAAAGTACTGTACATGGCAGCACTAATAATATGCACTTACAGTTGCAAGAAAAAGTATGTGAACCCCTTGAGATTACGTGGAGTTTTGCATGAATTGGGCATAAAATGTGCTCTGAACATCATCTAAGTCACAACAATAGAAGAACACAGTCTGCTGAACATAATACTACACAAACATTAGATGTTGTCATGGTTTAATTGCACATAACATGTAAACATTCACAGTGCAGGGAGGAAAAAGTATGTGAGGCCCTAGCTAATGACTTCTCCTAGAGCTAATTGGAGCCAGGAGTGAGCCAACCTTGACTCCAATCAGTGTAATGATATTGGATGTGTTGCTGACAACTGTCCTGCCCTTAAAAAACACACACCTGTTTTGGGTTTACTGGTTTCAAGAAGC